CGCGTGTCCGTCCGTTGTTCACACGCGCACTGGCTCATCACAACTTTCTCGTTCCACCAGTCGATCTGGGGGTTGTGTTTCTTGAGCCATGGCACACCAAGGATGCACGCATGGTTGTCCATGTGCACGATGTCAAACTGAATCGTTTCCTTGTGCCCGTGTAGCATGACCATTTCCAATGGGACCGTTTCGTGGGTCACCATTCCTTCATTAGTCGAGATGGGCTCTCCATCTACGACCATTAACGGGTATGGTTCGGTTTTCAATTGCGTCTTGAAACCTTGCGTGTCTGCTACTTTCTTTGTCATAAAGTTGCCCGTCGCTCCTGAGTCAATCATTGCTCGGAGGTGTCGCTGTTGTATCTTAGCGACCACATATAGTTGCATGCTGCCTGTCGTGGCGCATAGCTGGTCTGTACTAGGCCTCTTCGTGTCGCTCGCCGGTGGCCTACCGTCGAGGACTCCTAGTTTTTTGACTCGTCCGAGGAAGGATAGTATTCATCCGCTTCCAATGGTGGTCCTTGGGGAGATCGTTTCCCTCGCTCTTCTGCGTCGTCTAGCAGATGTGGGTATTTCTCGTATACCTGTTCACTTTTGATAGGCAAGTCCCCTTCAGACTGGCTTCGCCTGAGGGCGTGAACTTGCTCTGCGTCTCTGAAGTGTATCCTGGGCAAGGATCGGGGAAACAACTGATTCTGGTGTTTCTTTTCCCAGTGGAGCTTGCAGTCATCTTCGCTGCAATACTCCCAGTAGACATACGCGTGCCAGGGATGATCAGTCTCTGTTGCGTCTGTCATTGATAGTTCCCGCTGTCCTCTCACCCATGCACTATCTTCCCTCGGAGGCGTGGAGAACGTGTCTAGTTGCTCCATGGCTCTCCTTTCGATGCGTGGAGTGGGTCTCGCATTTTCCCGTCGCAGCATACCTCTGGCTTTCTCGTCGTACTTCTCCAGGGCTCTCCTGCGGTCCTGGTAGTAAAGTTCGACGCTTTTCATATACTTCAGTTTAGCCATATGCTCGACATCCTTCTCCAGTTCTTCCGCTTCTTGGGCTTCCAACTTAGCTACGTCTGGGGACGTGCCAAGCAGCCTGCGGGTATTCGTTAGTTGGTCGTAGTATCTCCAGAGGTCATCCTTGCAGTCGTCCACCTTGCACTCTAACGGAAGTCCCTGTAACAGGTTCCCGTAGATGCCCTTAAGCGTGGGGATTCTCCTCTGGCCGCTGGGCTTGTCTCGTTCGGCCCTAATCTTCGCGTGGGCGTGTTTTGCCATGCGTCTTACTACGCTCTTGCACCGTGGACTCATTGGTTCCGTAGGTGCGAGTTCGTCGAAGGTCTCCTGTTCCGAGACGGTGAACGATTCCGCCTCCGACCCTTCATCTGAGCTCTCGTCTTCTGGGGTGCTTTCGCCGTTTATTCCCCAGTCCTGTTTGCTCACAAACGTTGCGTTCAACTGTCCTGTCCAGGTGGCATTGAGTTGTTTGCCGACTTTGCGTCCGCCGTTCCCTTTCTTTGGCTGTCTGCAGTCTCGGGCCATGTGGCCTGGCTTGTCGCAGTTAAAACAGAGTCGTTCCTTGAATTGTCTGTCTTTCTTAGGGTCACGGGGTCGTCCAGGTTTGAACGTGGCATCGAGTTCCATTGGGTCCGACCAACGGTTGTCTCGCGGGTGTTGATCCCGTCGTCTGCCCTCGTTTCCCCGGTAGGGGTAACTTTTCTTGGGCTTGTCATAGGTCCGACGTTCCTTCTGGAATTCGTATAGTCGATTGTCGATTCGGACCGTATGTTCGATTAGCGCTACCATGTCCGTTGGTTGTTGTTCCAAACGGGCAAGTTCCATACGTATATGGCTCTTCAGCCCACGTCGGTAGTGGCTGATGAGTGCGCTGGCGTCCCATCCTGTCTGATTGCCGTATCTCTGGAATTCTGTGGAGTACGTGAGGGCGCTGCCAGTCTGCTTAAGTGCAAACAGATGGTCTTCTGCGGTCTTAATCTCATCGATGTCTCCGAACATGCGTCGGATTTCCTTACAGAATCCATTCCAGCTGCCAAACATAGTCTGCGTAGTTGTCATGCTTCCATTGGTACTTTCATATTTGAAATAGTCCTTGAGGAATGGTTCGATCCATCGCAGGGCTTCCCCCCTAAGGTAGGACGCAGTCCACAGGGCATAGCTCTCCTGGGTGGGAAACTTCTCGTCATTGAAGTGCTGGTACAGTTCGACCTGTAGCAAAAACACCTCAAGTTCCTTTCGGTTGCCGGAGTAAGTGTCGGGCAACTTGACGCGTAGAGTTTCCTTGAGTTCGTTGACGGTGGGTGCATCGGGCATCTCTTCATTCTCAGGCTTAGACCTCTGAGACGAAGTTGGCGTGGTGGGGGTTTTCCCCTTCGAACTGACGACAGACATGTTGCTTTGTGTGTAAGCCGGTACCTCGTAGAAGTGGTGCTCAAAGTGTAACGCTGACTTCTAAACGATAGAAGACACAGAGGTTCTCTTGCGTAAAGGTTTACTTATCAGAGGAGGCAGGGGATCGGACACAAAGGCTTCAAGTAACACGTTACTAGTATATAACAAATACTGTATTGAGTTGAGCACGAAGCTCCTATCTAAGAACTAACTATCTACTTATATAGTGGCGTCGTGCCTAGTGGACTCCTGGGAACTCACTCGAGTCCTCGGAGTCCTGGACTCTTAGGATTCTTCTCATCATCCTGCGAGTCCGTCACGTGCCTAGTGGACTCCTGGGAACTCACTCGAGTCCTCGGAGTCCTGGACTCTTAGGACTCTTCTCATCATCCTGCGAGTCCGTCACGTGATACTTTCGGAACTACTATTCCCCGCTGCCCCTCCAGGTACCAGGGCCGGTCTCATGCGACCTCTCTCCTTCCTGTCCTGTAGTTGGGCAGCCTTCTTGTTCCGTCGTAACACCTATTCAGTGCCAACGCGTCGGCAACTTTACCAGCTTGTTCTGAAGAATCAAACCCTGATCCACTGGCTGTCCGTGAGATCTCTGGAATCACGGCTATTTGAAGTCATCAGGTCTCTCCTCCGAAACGTCACCGAGTCGCAGTCGATGTTGTGATGGTAGTTCTCCTGAGTCATTCCGGTGTGGGATATTATTGAAGTACGGCCGTCCCCGGCAGGCGTGATCTTTTTTGTATAATGTAAGGACACAGGGCACCCAGCTCACAGTAATAGCATATGAGAGTGCGAGTCAGAGGCTAAATGGATGCTATCCTATAGGTCTACTACGAAGGATACAAAAAAGATGAAGAGAGGAACCCCCGTTGGGTCAATCTCCTTCAAGTACCTGAAACGGGTCCGACTCGGCTAACCTGCCTTCACTCTCACCACGTGACCGTAACTTGTCCGACTCAGATACCTTCCGTCACTGAGGGAGAGGGACCCCGTTGGGTCAATCCCCTTAAGTACCCGAAACGGGTCCGACTTGGCTAACCTGCCTTAACTCTTATCATGTGACCGTAACCTGCCTTACTCAGATGAGCTTCTTAGTTCTAGTCGAATTTGTTGTAAATTCGAGAGTAATCCGATCTTTGGGTTTCTTTCCCCCACTCGAAGCTTTAGTGGCTAGTGTTCGAGTTGGCGTCATCTTCCAAAAGAGCCTAGTTTTATCTATGTTGAAAATATCTTGATCTGCATATGTTGTGCATAGTTGTTGGAGATCTTCCATTTATGGGATATTTATATGATTGTGGATGTCCGCTGCAGCTGCTTCTCTATGTCGAACATATTCCTTAATCTTAAATCTCTTCTTGAATCCATCTAACCAGCCATTCAACCATTTCGGTTCATTCCTATGAATAGTATATTGTGGCAGACGGTCCCAAAGTTCGTGCGCCTTAGTTTTTAGAATGTCACCAGTAATGATCACATTTTTCTTTTGCATGCATTGTTTCCAGTCGAAGAGGTTCAGGATATTTGCCATTACTTTTTCTCTTTGTGCCAAGTTCAGTCTTCTTCCGTGTATCTGAGTCGAGATATTGGTACTTCGTGGAAAGAATTGAGATATTTGGCCTTGGCTAAGTTGGCGACCTTGAGCTTGAGCGGCATACCAGGCTATAAGTGCAGGCTGAGTGCACGGGTGGCTGGCATATCTGCGTCGAATACATTGTCGCTGAACATCGGTGAGTGCGTGCCTTTTTTTTGGTTGCGAGGCCTCCATGGTGGAGTTGGTGAACACGAGTTATAAGGATTGTTTGGTATAAAAATAATTTTGGGACCACGGATTTAAGGATCATCCTTATACAGAAATAATCCTTATTTTACAGCTAAAAAACTACGGGACCAGACTACCCATCCTTATACTGAGGATATCCTTATATTGAGGGATCCTTATATCCAGGTTCAACTGTACTGTATTTCCATAGTCTATATAGCTATCAATCATGTTTTCATTTTTATACTCGAGTACTACTCTACTCGAGCCCAAAAAACAGTACTCTACTCGAAGATCTCTGAGTAGTACTCTGAGTAGTTCTCGGGCAACACTGACTACAATGTCTATAGTAGGAAGTGTAGCTGCTCAAATGACTGTTGATGGTTGAAATGGCTGTAACCCACTCCCTCTCTATGTAGAAGTTAGATTTAAGTTAGAAAATGCGAGTTCTCTTGCTTGTAAATATACATCTATCCTTTCCAACTTCTATATACGTAGGAGGTGTGCCTCGTTAAGGTGCAAGAGGGCAGTTGTAAAATGTCCAGTCCTAACCGTCTCACCCTCCGCAGCCCTTAGAGAGGTCAATGTAAGCACCTGTGCAGCGCCTGGCGATTAAGTATCATGACCCCAAGGTACGCCTTTCTTAAGTGAGAGTGCGCCAGCGAATGGTAGAAACCGCTGGAGCATGGGCAGTTGCGGTGAGAAGGGCAGGAGCGAGACACGACGGCGGCGGTCACGACGGCGGCGGTCACGACGGCGGCGGTCACGACGGTCACTCGCTAGGATAAGAGCTAGGGTGGTGGTTGTACAACCCACCCACCACCCTCATCGCCGTAGCTTGGCTCCACCGCGCTGCTGACTCGACAAAAAGCTGAAAGGCTCCCTTCCCTGGAGACGGATATATAGCATATTTGTTGCGCCGCGAGACTCTCTTGGAAGGGGGATCTGAACGACGTAGACTGAACTTACGGACGGACTCGGCGTGATGCGGTAACAGTATCCTTCCGTGTAGAACCGCCGTTCTTCAACCCCACCGCACAGCTCGCAATGTCGAACGACACAATCTCCATCTCTCTCGCCGCTGGCGCCATTGCTCTCGCCCTAGTGATCATCTCATCTGCTGCGTCTCTACGGCTCATAGCGCCCCGGTGGCACAGCAGGAAGGATGGCCAGCTGCAGCGCATCTACGAGGATGCCGACGGCGTGGCTACGGCAGAAACGACAGCCGCCTACTCGACCACGGCGCCCAAGATCGCTATCGGCCTGTTGACCGTGCTCGGACTAGGCGTCTCCATGGCTCTCGCTGTGCTCAGCACTCTAGATCGCAGCGAGGGCTTCTTCCTCGAGAACTGGTTCAACGCGGCTGCATGGGTAACCTGGGATTGTCAATTCCTCTACGGATAACTAGCTAACAGCGATGACAGGTGCTTATTTCCCTCCAGGCTCTCGCCGTAGTCTATGCAAGAGCCCCAGTGATGACCCATGACCTGGGCATCTACGGCTCCATCTCTACCTGGTTCCTCCTCGGCGGCCAGTGCACCCAATCCGTCATCCTGGCCCAGGTGCGCAGCGACATTGGGCCCCTCCCCACCTTTATCCTGCGCGTAGCCCAGCTCATCCTCACCACCGCCGTCGCCTTCGCCAACCTCACCATCCCGCGCCGCCCCGGCGTCTTCATCGACGGCAACCGCCCCATCGACGCCATGAACACCAACTCAGCCCTGAGCAAGTACTCCTTCGAGTGGTGCAACGCCGTCCTCCGTTTCGCCGTAAAGAAGGGCACGCTCAACATGTCCGACCTCCCGCGCCCCAACGCCGACACCCGCTCCGCCGACCTAGCAGCGTCGTGGACCCGCGCCAACTTACCGGGCAGCCTCATGCTGCGCATCTTTCTAACGCACAAGTGGGCCTTCGCGGGCCAGTGGGCACTAGCATTCGTGCAGGCCTTTGGCAACATCGCGCCGCAGTTCGTGCTGCTGCAGATTCTGCGCGTGCTCGAGCGCCGTGGCAGCGGTGAGCCCATCACGTCCGAGGCGTTTGTGTGGGTCGCGGCGCTGGGGGTGATGACGGTTGCGTCGTCGTGGGTGGAGGGGTGGCTGCTCTGGCTGTCCCAGTCAGATTTGTCGATCCCGATCCGGGCAGAGCTGTCGGCGCTCGTGTTTGAGAAGTCGATGCGGAGGAAGGATGTCAAGAGCGTGGCGAAGACGGCGGAGGGGGAGGTGGATGAGGAGAATATCGAGGCCGGGGCCACGAAGGCGGAGATTAATGATGAGGATATGGGGCAGAAGTCGAGGCAGGCGATTGTGAACCTCATCGGTGTCGATGCGAAGCGCGTTGCGGACTTTGCGGCGTTCAATTTCTTCTTCCCTGGCAGCTTCTTCGAGCTGGTCATCTCGTTCGCGTTCCTCATCCAGTTGATTGGGTGGCGCTCCCTGCTCGCCGGGTTGATGACCATGGTTATCATCCTGCCCGCTAACATTATATTCAGCAAACGCTACAGCGCGGCGCAGGACCGTCTGATGAAGGCGCGCGACGCCAAGCTGGCCGTTGTCAACGAGGCCCTACAAGGCATGAAACAGATCAAGTGGACGGCGACGGAAAACCAGTGGGGAGCCAAGATCAAGAAGGTTCGTGACCGCGAGCTGCGCGATCTCTGGTCCTCGCTACTCAACGACGCGGGCCTGATCCTCTGCTGGATTGCCGCGCCCATCATGCTGTCCGCGGCCTCGCTCGCGACCTACGCAGTTCTAGAGGGTGGCCTAAGCCCATCCGTCGCCTTCACCAGCATCGGCGTCTTTAAGCAGCTCGAGCTGACACTCTCTATCATCCCTGAACTGACTACTGACCTCATCGATGCCATCGTCTCCGTCACCCGTATCGAGGAGTACCTCTCCGCGCCCGAGGTCGCCTCTGACCGCAAGGTCTCGGACACGATCTCCTTCGAGCACGCCTCTGTCGCCTGGCCCTGCGACGACGACACGGACGAGGCGGACAAGTACGTCCTCCGCGATATTGACATCGCCTTCCCCACCGGTGAGCTGAGCATTATCTCCGGAAAAACTGGGTCGGGCAAGACGCTCCTCCTCAGCGCCATCCTTGGTGAAACCGATCTCCTTGCCGGAAGCGTGCATGTTCCTCTCTCTCCTCCGCTTTCCTCCCGCCATGACGCTGCCGCTACGCGCGACAACTGGATCATCCCCTCGTCCATCGCCTATGTGGCACAAATCCCATGGATCGAGAATGCAACTGTCAAGGAGAACATCCTGTTTGGTCTCCCGCTTGATGAAGAGCGCTACGCCAAGACGATCGATGTGTGCGCACTGCGCGCTGACCTAGCTATCATGCCTGACGGCGAGGAGACTGAGATCGGATCCCAGGGCATCAATCTTAGCGGTGGACAGCGGTGGAGGCTGACATTTGCGCGAGCGCTATATTCGCGTGCGGGCATACTATTATTGGATGACCTGTTCAGTGCGCTGGATGCGCATGTGGGCAGGCATATTTTCGAGGAGGCGCTGACGGGAGAGTTGGGCGCGGGACGGACGCGCATCCTGGTTACCCACCATGTGGCGCTCTGTCGACCCAGGGCGAAGTATCTGGTTGAGCTTGGGGAGGGGACGGTGGATCATGCGGGGTTGGTGGCGGAGTTGGAGCTGGAGGGGGTTATGGGGGAGATTGTGAGCCATAATGAGACGAGGGAGGAGGTTGAGGCTGATGAGGCGTCGACGGCTGTGGTGTCCGACTCGTCGGATGTGGATACTAGCCGGGAGCTCCTGACAAGAGACGACACAAAGGCATCGGCGAAGAAGTTTGTGGAGGAGGAGGGCCGCGAGACGGGCGCGATTAAGAAGGTCATCTACCTCGGGTACCTGAAGTCGAGCGGCGGTATGCCATTTTGGAGCGTGGCAGCAGTTATCTTTTCTATCCTCGAGATCACGACGCTCGGCCGCTCGTGGATCCTCAAACTCTGGACTGGCAGCGACGAGAAGCACACCGCACACGCGATGTTCACCTATGCTTTCCAGGCTCTGGTGGTCAAGGGCGGCAACGAGGAGTTCCACGATAATCTGGTGTACTACCTCGCGTTGTACGTGTCGGTGTCGCTGTTATCGTGCTTCTTGGGCGTCTTTAAGCACTACTATATCTTCTTGGGCAGCATCCGCGCGTCAAAGAAGCTGTTTGAGGATATCACATACACGGTGCTGAGAACGCCGCTGCGCTGGATCGATACCGTCCCCATTGGACGGGTGCTGAATCGCTTCACGGCTGATTTTGTCATCGTCGATGCGCGACTGGCGTACGATTTGAGTTTTGGGATTATGGATGTCTTCTCTGTGATCGGTATTGTCATTGCTGGGTATGCCTCTCACCCCCCCCCTTTTTTTCTAACAGCTGTCTAACTATACTAGTCTCTTCGTATCTTCCTACATCTTCGTCCTCGCTTTCGTCCTCGCCGCCATCTGCCTGCACTTTGCCATGCGCTACCTAGCCGGCGCGCGCGAAGTGAAGCGTCTCGAGAGCAACGCCAAGTCCCCCATTTTCGAGACCTTCAACGCCGCCCTCGCGGGCGTCGCCACGATCCGCGGCTTTGACAAGGCAGACGTGTACGTCAAGCGCATGTACGACCTGATCGACAGCCACTCGACGACTACCTGGCACCTGTGGCTGTTCAACCGCTGGATGGGACTCCGGATGGCGTCCGTGGGCGCGCTGTTCTGCGTCGCGGTATCCACCACCATCCTGCTCATCCCATCCATCTCCGCCTCCCTCGGCGGCTTTGCGCTCGCTTTCAGCCTCGAGTACTCCGCTGCCATCATGTGGGCGCTCCGCCACTACGCATCCCTCGAGCTGGACTTCAACTCCGCCGAGCGCGTCATCGAGTACGCCAACCTCCCCACCGAGACAGAGAAGGGCATCGACCCGCCTGCCGCATGGCCCTCCTCCGGCCGCCTCGAGGTCTCCGACCTCGTCGTTGGTTATGCACCCGACCTGCCTGCCATCCTAAACGGCCTCTCCTTCTCCATAGCGCCCAACCAGCGCGTAGGCGTCGTGGGCCGCACCGGAGCGGGTAAGTCCTCTCTCACCCTCGCGCTGTTCCGCTTCCTCGACCCGCGCGCCGGCAAGATCGTCATCGATGGGCTCGACATCTCGACTGTGAAACTACAAGCCCTCCGCAGCCGCCTCGCTATCATCCCCCAGGACCCCGTCCTGTTTTCCGGGACCGTGAGGAGTAATTTAGATCCCTTCGACGAGTACGAGGATGCCGAGCTCCGCGATGCCCTACAGCGCGTGCACCTCGTCTCCGCGCCTACCTCGTGGGCTGACTCGCATTCCCCGCCCGCCTCCAGCACGGCAACCAGCACCTCGCAAGGCCAGCAATCCAACACGAACCCCTTCGCCTCCCTATCCTCCCCCATCTCGGAATCCGGCCTCAACCTCTCCCAGGGGCAACGGCAACTCCTCTGCCTCGCGCGCGCGATCGTGGCGCGTCCCAAGATCCTGGTCCTGGACGAGGCGACGAGCGCGGTGGACATGGGCACCGATGCGCTCATCCAGCGGAGTATTAGGGAGGAGTTCCGCGATACGACGTTGGTGGTTATTGCGCATCGGTTGAGTACGATTGCGGATTTTGATCGGATTTTGGTGATGGATAAGGGGGTGGGGGTGGAGTTTGGGGGGCTGAGGGAGTTGATGGAGATTGGAGGGGTGTTTGCGGGGTTGGTGAGGGGGAGTGGTGAGGGGATTATTATTGGGGGGGGGGGAAGAAGGAGTGAGTAAGTAGGGGGGGAGGTATGTTTATACATGGAACCAGGGTGGGACGTGGCTTCTCGGTCGTGCGTGGCAGATGGAAAGGCATAAGGAAGAAAGAAGGGCGGAAAAGTGGAAGAAGCGTGTTAAAACCATTTCAGCTTTATTTTTTGCATTTGTTTTTTCTTTCTTGAGTTTGGTTTGTAAAGACCGGGTTGGGAGGGGGTGGGAAAACGGCGCATAGAAATAAATACATATTGTGTGCTATGAATTTGTGGTTTCGCGCCTTTTTTGTTTGGGATATAAGAGAGGATGTAGTGCATGGCTTTGATATGGATGGATCTCGGCGGTACATTCGCAGCTGGCTATTTTCCTAAATACCGAGTTCATTATAGCAATACGACATCTGTTTGTTTCTGTGAATTTAGGTTTGAATATATCAGAAAATTCGTTGAGCTATGGTGTAGTATGAAGCTCCCTTAATTTGTATGAATATTCCTATTTTATTGTGACATGCGTGGGAGTAAGTTAAGTAAATGGCGGACTGCACCACTCAGTTACTCAACAACAGTGACAGACACTCACCACATACTGCTCATCCTCATACAACCCCACTCAGCACAGCGAGAGATATTAAAGCACGGGAGTCACAGTAGATGTGGCCTCTCCCGCTACGTAACGGGTCCCCTGGCAAGCGGTTGGGGACGCGATGATATATTCCCAATCCAGCCCACAATCTAAACCGCCACACCGGCATAACACAAACTGGCGTGCGCCCGCGACGCTCACAACATCCATGGACGAGCGCGAAGAAGTCCTATCCCTCGATCTCGAGGACGACGACTACCTCTACCGCATCCGGCGCGGCCACCGCATCGTCTACGTCTCGGTGCTGCATGCTGGTATTGTCCCACCAGAGCACCGCACAGAGGGGTCTAGGATCCTATCTCACCTGCGGCGACTCCCTGGGTGGGACGGGGAATGGCGCACGCTTACGGCTCGGAAGAGAGATGGCGGCGTGGAGTGCACTGTCAATGAGTTTGAGGCGCATAAGCTGGATAGCGGCGCCGTCGCTGCCTGCGCTGGCCCGGCATTCAATCTCCTGGAGCTTGAGCGATGTGGGCGGATTAGCGAGAGAATGGCGAGGGTGGTTGTGGGGGGGACGGTGTGCGTGGTTAAGATTGCTAGATTCAGGCATGAGCTCGAGGCTCTGGAGAGGGAGGTTCGAGTATACGGTGCTTTGAGGGATCGCAAGTTTGGTCTTTGCCCTGCTTTCATTGGGTATGTTTATGAGGAAGAGAAGGGCCGGGTTGTGGGCTTTCTGATGGAAGAGCTGCATGGACGGCATCCTGATATTAGGGACCTGGGCGCTTGTGAGGATACGGTCGAGCAACTGCATGGTGCAGGCGTTTCTCATGGCGATCTGAACAAATACAATATCATCGTCTCGGGGAATGTAGCAAAGTTGATTGATTTTGAAGTATCAACGTTTCTGGAAGACGGACATCACGAAGAGGCAAAAGACGAATTGCAGAAACTGGCCGACCAGTTATTAGACACGTCAGAAGTAGGATTGAGATAGATATAGTAATTTAGCACCTCTCTCCTATGAAACCATCGCTCTACGCGCTCTTTAAACAGGTCCTGCATCTATGAGTCAACATCTTGACTCATAGATGCAGGACCTGTATTGTAGTTTGCCGCTGCCGCACCTTTCGTTATCTTTTCCCTTGTGTTCTTCGCATTTGACGAATTCGCCGTCCTTCGAATGTCCGCAAGAATATCGGACTTGTTCTTGAGTGCATATAGAATAAGAATAAGGCACTAAGATTGTTAATCGCTGCCGCAGAGTTAGGCAGTATGTAACCGTGGCTCATAAGGGCCAATAGTTGAGAACAATGGGATGGCACTATCATTTGCAAGCCTAGAGTTCTATTCCATTCCGGCCATTGCCGCGATTACGGCTCGCGCAACCCTATACCCAACTACAAGGCAGGCTACAGCAATGAGGTGCAAGTTAGTCTTTCGATCCTGCCGTAAGTGTACTCTACGCCAAATACTCTTACGGCAGGATCGAAAGACTAACTTGCACCTCATTGCTGTAGCCTGCCTTGAGGCAGAGCTCGGTCCAGGCGCGCTGGATGTCGATCTCGAGAACGTTCGGGCTGTGCGCGTTAATGCTGACGGCGGCGAATGGGATTACCTGGCCGAGGATGGTGACAAGGATGCTTGATTCGAGAGAGGGTTGGAGAGAGGGGAGGTTGGAAAGGTATACTCCTAGTAGGTGTTACTTTGGGAACTACATGTTGTATGGGGTAGTGGGCTGGTAAAAAGGGGTAAAGCAGAATGGTGCACATTTTCTAAAAGTGCAGCATGCATGCATCTAAGAAGGAGATAAAGGAGGAAATATACGTACCCCATACCCCCAGCGCTTTCAGCGACGAGACAATCTCAATTCGCCCAGTCTCAAGGAGCGTCATCTCAGACGACACCACTGCGACAGCTCCGCTCATCTTCCCTAACAGCCCCAGACTCGCCACCCACAGCGTGTCGTCCTCCTTGCTCGACGGTCGCACAAACCCGCGCAGCGGGAAGGCAGAGAGGATATCGTAGCCACGAACGTCAAGGCAGGCGAAGATGAGGCTCTCGGGGCGGTAGTCAACGAGCTGTAGCGGCGGCGTGACGAGCCCCGATACGTGTGAGCGGACGACGTAGAGCTGGGTCTCGACGACGCCGGGGAAGAGGCTGAGGTGGAGCAGCTCGTTGACCGGGCCCGAGGTGGTATTGAAGAGTCCAAGCATACCGGTTCCCGTGACAGCAGCTCCGTGGTAGGTGGAGATCTTGAGGAGTACAGGGTCCTGGTAACCTTGATAGGGGTCTCGGGTCTTGCCGAAGGTGGAGGGGCGGAAGATGACGGATTTTCCAGCGGGCGTGGGGCCGGTCATCTGATTGATGAGGGGCATGTTGTGCTCGCCTGGGACGTCGGTGATGTAGACGGGTCCACCGGAGACACAGCGTGCCGCGGCGTGGAAGGCGGAATACTCGTGGACGGTCATGAACATGTCAAAGTCCGGGACCACGTTGAGGTGCTGCGTGAGGAGGGCGTTAGAGGCATTGGTAAAGACGTGCCAGGCGTGGCTGCTCTCAATCTCAGGGAAGAAGTCATCGCTGTTGCGCACCAGGATGGGAGGCCGGTTGGATGGGAGCTGCGAGTGGAAGATTATGTTGGGAGTTTGTGACATGCACGAGATGACTTTCACGCTAAAGTGCCGCAGGCCGGCTATCGACCAGGCATCGAGGTAAGCGTGGGTTAGGCTTGCGCGGGCGGAAGCCGAAGTGATAGTGTCGAGCAGATACTGGGAGTCTGTCTTGACAGCATCGATGCCGCAGTCCGTCAGAAAGGTGTAGAAGTCATTGTAGAATTTCCCGACATCGGACGCAGCGACGAGGGTCATTTTCCCGTCCATAGGGAGGTTCGCGGGAAGAGAATCTTCCCGCTCAACTTCAACGGCTTTGTAGTCTCGTGCGATCTTCCCGTTGGGAGAAATCCCAGCCCAGTATCCGATCAAGGAATGCCAAACCGCGATGTGCTGTATGTTAGGATGCTTCGAGCGAATATTCGTGATAGTGTGTTTGAGACCCTTTGGAAAACCGGTGGTGTTCGCTTCGAATTCAAGCCATCTCTGTTGGAACTGGTTTTCTGATCCCGCCGGAGTCTCGACAGACTGCCAGTTATCATCAATGATGAGGTTGGAAATATTAATATTGTTCGCCGCCAAGGTGTCGACGGCGTTATATATCTTCTCTTCGGTGAGGTTCTGACCAAGGCCGTTCCATGTGCAGTATGTCAACCCATCAAACCAATTCTCCATCCACTGCGGCTTGACGTCGTCTTTTAGCGCCATTAACTCCTGCTTTTCCTCACCTATAGCCAGAGACAGATCCTGGACGAGGTCTCGAGCATGGTACATCGCTGCAGCGTTAGCGGATTCAAAGTCATTCCCAAGAGCCACGATAATCCGAGCAATGCCTGCTTTGGGGCCATCGTTTCGTGCCTCCAGTGTTATATTTCCTGCGGCGTCGCTCCTGAAAAGGGCGGATACATCATCTATCCCGCTGACAGCCAAAAATACCAAATGTCTTCCACCTCTCCGCTCTAGGAAGGAACAGACTATGGCCTCCTTGTCAAGCTCAAAACTGGAGCCTTGTCGTGGAGCCAACCATGCAGTCCAAGTCCTTATAAGGGCAAACCACCGCACAAAATCCCCTGACCATGGTTTCCCTATCTTAGTACTCGAGAAAGTCGATTTCTCTCCTTCGGCTGAAGCGACTGAGGCCTCCACGCTCCATAACTCGGTACCCGGGGATTGGCTCCTTACCTTCTGGACCTTGAACTCGGAGTTCAGGTCCTCAACGAGCTCTCCGAAGTCTTCCACGGCTGCGGATTGTGCAGCTTGGCCTTTCCACACCACAATACCGTCACCGATGCCCTGATGCTCCTTAACCCACCTCCATGTCTCCTCTCCGGCCTTTTTAAACTTAATTGTGAAGGTAACGGTGGATGTGGTGTCTAGTGATCCCGTGAAGTACGAATGGAAGCGGCCCTCTACTGATTTTGGTTTGTCCAGGGCGTCCTTCCTTGACAGAGGGGTCTCCTTCCAGGAGTCGCCTGATGAGTACCAAACCGAAACCTCCCAAGCTGCAGAAACCCCTCCTTCATCAGTTTCCAGAAGGACCGTGAAGGAGATTTGCCCATTCAAAGTCTCCGACACCTGACCCACGGGCGGCCAAGACGAAATCAACGCCTTGGTGGTCATACCAGCAAACAGATGTTCCGGTTTCGGATCCTCCTGGTCGGGGATATACTGGGCCTGAAATACCTCCATGATTCCGCTTAGTAAATATAAATATATTGGTTCAAAAATGAATTATTTGGAAAAGACAAAGGAGCAAATACTTACCTGTTAAGACAGCTTCTTGCCGCCGATATGGATTTGCGGCGCGAGATGTTCCGTCTACTGAGCCTCGTAGGTAGATGCACCATACGGAGCCATATATTCCCGTTTGAGGCTAGGGTCCAGTTGACAGCGAATTATCGAATTGTGGAAACCTCAAATTATAATTATACCCCTATGCTCGAGTATGAGCATAGTTACTTTACATTTGCCCAACTGCAGACGTCAAAAATGATATTTAAAAACCGGTCCGTGATATCAGTGAGCGCTGAGAAGTGAGGAAGTACCACCGTTCTGAGGGGTACTTGATATCCACCTACGAAGGGTGCGGGGTCTAATGTACCCCTGTTATTGCAAGTACTTGGTCCCCACAATTCTCCAAATACTTTATCACGTGATCTCGCCTATGAAATCGCACTCGGTCGCTGTACTGTCCCGTACTAATATAGCTAATTTTCAACAGCCTCGTCCTCAGCCTTACAGACCTCGTCGTCGTCTTGTGAAAGCCTCATTACAGTTAATATGCCACTTGCGCCGTAGGACTGGCCTCTACACGCTCATTGCCAGCCATCATGGCCTTCTCTTCCCTTCTTCGAAGCGCGTCCCAGCACAGACTCTGCCAATGCGGCAGGACGGCTGCTCGGTCGACGAGACCGCACGGCGCGACGGGTCGGCGATATATTGGCATGAAGTACCTTGCGAAGGTTGCCGATGCGGAAAAGGCCTGGGCGGAAAAGGCAAAGGAGATTCGAGCGGGGAATCAAAAGTCTATGCTGAGCATATTAGAAGAGCGAGGGCTGGTCCATCAAACCACGGGGTAACTTCCCCCCCTTAAATCTTTCCATCCGCTACGAAGCTGACTGGAGTCATAGTAACCGGGACACCATCGACAACCTGATGATAGATAAACGCGTTGGAGCATACGTAGGAATTGACCCGACTGCATCCTCCCTCCATGTTGGCCACCTCCTCCCGCTCATGTCCCTCTTCTGGATGTACCTCCACGGATACCACAGCGTGTCCCTCCTCGGCGGCGCCACGGCGAAGATTGGCGACCCGACAGGCCGCCTCACAACTCGCACGAAAGAGCACAGCGCCGTCCGCACGGCAAACATGGTCAATATGCACTACCAGCTGAAGAAGTTATGGCTCAACGTGGAGGAGTACGGCCGCAAGTTCGGTTACAACTGGGAGTGGGCATGGCATCGGGAACTGGTCAACAACAACACCTGGACAAATAAACTCACAGTCATAGAGCTTCTACAGATTCTTGGCCCTGGCATGCGGTTAGGCACCATGCTTGCGAGGGACACCGTTAAGAACAAGCTCAGCAAGGGTGACGGCATGTCCTATGCCGAGTTCTCCTATCCAGTGCTTCAGGCCTGGGACTGGTGGCACATGTACAACACCAAAGACATCCAAATGCAAATCGGTGGTGCGGATCAGTACGGCAACATCGTTGCGGGCCTCAACGCCGTAAAGTACATCTCGTCAAACCACCCCGACCCCGATGTGCGCCAAGGCAAAGATGCCGACATCGCTCAACCATTTGGCTTCACTGTCCCCCTCCTAACCACAGCCGCCGGCGATAAATTCGGCAAGTCAGCCGGAAACGCCGTCTGGCTCGACAAGGAGCTCACCAGCACCTTCGAGCTGTATGGCTTCTGGATGCGCCAGTCCGACGCCGACATGCCACGCTACCTTCGCTACTTCACCTTCCTTCCCTCACCCGAGATCGACGCACTGGTCGAGGAGCACAACCAGGCGCGGCATGAGCGCAAGGCGCAGCACGTTCTCGCGCGAAACTTTGTCGAGCTCATCCACGGGCCCGCAGAGGCCAAGGCTGCGGAGGCGAATCACCGCCTGCTATTCGGGAAGCCCTTGTTGTCAAGTCTGATGGAGACACCCAAGGATAACGCCGCAGCGGAATCCGAGAAGAAGGGTCCCACGCCCGTAACCCTTAACAATGCGCCCAGCATCAACATCACGCTCCCGCGCTCCGTGCTTACCAAGTCAATTGGCAAGATCGTGTACGCGGCCGGGTTGGCGGAGTCGGCGTCTGAGGGGCACAGACTTGTTTCCAATGGGAGCTTGTATATCAGCGGCCCGTCGAGTCAGAAGAAGCAGGCGATGGATGAGGCAGAGCTGAAGTTCACGCAGATCAAGAACTGGCTCATTGCTGATACGAAGAAGTTCCTTGTTGGCGACAAGATGCTCGTGTTGAGGAGGGGGAAGCATAATATTCGCATTGTTAAGATTGTGGAGGATAAGGAGTGGGCGGAGGGTGGGAAGAAGTACCCTGGGGAGGGGGGCCAGGATGTACAGAAGGGGGAGGCTGGGGAGGAGGCCGGAGAGCTATGTGCGAAGGACGCTGGGAAGGAGCGCAAGAAAAAGAGCTTCTGGAGCGAGTTTGCCCCGGAGGTGGATCCGAACGAGAGGAAGAGCGTTCTGTACAAGCCTGCCCCTTCAGGGCAGAAGAAGACTATAATCCGGAGGAGCCCCACTAAGCCATATGATGAGAAGGAGGAGGGGAGCAGTTTAGTGCGCAGGAAGGAAAGTTGAAGAGGGAGAGATAAATATGTGTACGAATTACGTGTAGGAATTTTGTAGGATAGATTTAGATGTACAGAGTATATCCCCTCAAATAAGTGTATTTTCTAATGTGGATTACCTAGAAGTTACTAGTCGGTGGGGGGGATATTTTAGTTGGTCCCGGCGGTGATAAGCATCGTCGCCACCGGCCGCAACGTCGACCATCAAATTTCGGTCGAGATCACGGGCGAAGTAGACGACGACACGACCACAATTCATCTTTGTGGCAATGTGTGTTGATCGATGATGCCCAGTCCAGGGAGTTAAACCTACCATCCATCGCAGACCTGAGAACCCTCTAGGTCCATGGGTGACCAACGAGCCGCCATGCCGTCAAGGCACCAGGCACCAAAATGGCATCAACCGGCCGCAGAGTAGGAAGAACCAGGCTTTTTATCCGTACTTTGTTGTTAATATATCATCCAGATCGCTCTCAAATTTTTCATCAGAAGCTACATCTCTCATAGCGAACTCTCGTCGAAACCTAAATATTGGCCGTCCAAATTCTCTACTGACTCGTATATCACCACCGAGATCCAGCCGGAGAGAACCCAACCAGCAAAATAAAACAAGCCATAGGCAGCGTCCATACAGTTCCCCAGAAGACTCCTCTCGCCCCGCCACGAAACGTACCAAATATGACCACCTTTCTAACTTCCAAAACTCCCCCTACCTCACCCACCTCCCGCCTCCCCTCCTCCCCACCCCCGCCTTCCACAGCCTCCACAACCGCCATCTCACATCCCGCGGCCACCTCTTCGTAATCCACCAACATGACCACCCCATCGCAGGCCTCCACTACGACCTCCGCCTCCAGTTCTCCGCCACGAGCAGCCTCAGCTGGGCCATCCCGTTCGGGGTGCCGGGGGACCCTAATAGCAAGCGTCAGTTGCGCCTCGCAACAGAGACTAGGGTGCATACCGTTGGTAGCCATTTGGTGGAGGGGGCCTCGAAAGGGGGAGGTTCGATGTTAGTGTGGGATGGAGGGGTTTATGAGGTGCTGCCGCGGCGTAAGGGGGACGGGCCGGAGAGGGATCCAGGGTCGGCGGAGGGGTCACAGTCATCCGGTTTGGGGGACGTAGAAAAAGGAGAAAAGGGAGAAGAGGAGGGAGGTGAGAAGGAGGAGGTGTCGGAGAATTCGAAGCTGGTGGAAGCGTTTGGGCGGAGGAAGATCAGGATTAGATTGCATGGGGCGAGGTTGCCGGAAGGGTACACGCTGGATATGTTCGTTGCGCCTGGTTCGCAGCATCTACGTGAGCCATGGGTGACAGTGAGGAGGAAGACGAGGCGGGTTGTGAAAGTTATGGAGACGTCGTCAGAGGGGGAAGAGAGTGATGCGGCTATACCTGTGGCGGACGCGGTGGCCGCGGAATGGGCACTGGGATGGGAAAGAAAGGAGGCTGAAAAGAGGGAGGTGCGCCGCGTGAATGCGTATCCGGGAGCAGAGAACACGATTGGGTCACTGTATCAGCGGAAATGGTTTCTGTGTCTTGATAGAGAAGGGTCGGGGTTCTGCAAGGCGGATAGGGATGGGGTTTGGGAGAGGAGGAAGGGCGAGGGAGGTGCGCTGGAAGGGTTCGAGCCGTTTTACGTTAGGGGCGTGGAGGAAGAGATGAGCGTGGTGACGGGGATGAAAGCAGAGCATGTGATGAGAGATGCGGGCGTCGTTGGGTTTGTGAGGAGGAAGGGGTGGAGGGGTATTCTTGACTGATGGGGCCTTTCTACGTCTCCGGAAGGAAGGAGCGTTGGAAATGAGGTTTTTGGAGATGCTTGAAAGGTGGGACATAATTCCACATCTAACACTCCCTTCTCTCCAATAATTTGCTACAATTTTGCTTGAAGGTTGCCAGTAATCGTTCTCTTTGTTTTCCTCTGTCCCCTTATCCCCCTATACCAATTGAATGTAATCCCCAGCACCCACCAGACATGCCGAAAGGTTATAACCCAGGATTAGCCATCACCTCCAAAATAATAATTTGGGGTGGGTTTGGCGCAACGGTAGCGCTCCTGATTCTTCATCCTATCAGTAACTCGAAGGTGTGGTCTCGACTCTGGGTTCGTCTGGGTATGTGAGTTACATTCCCGCTACTTCAGTCAGAGCGTTGTAAGTCTTGCGAGGCTGGCTACGGAGTCTAGTTCAGTCAATTCTCTCGGTCTCGCAAGCTATCCAGCTGTCAAAGGAATCAGGAAGCATCAAATGAGTTGAGGACATCGCAAGATGACACCAGACCACGAGATCAGGGTTCGAATCCGGTCCAACTATACATACTTCTGTTTTATCGTTGTCAACTTATTTACTAGTTGTTTGTTATACTCGTCTGCCGCCCTAACAGCCAAGGCACCCTTTGACCCCATGAGGTTTTTGATGTGGATTGTATGCATTGAGATTCGATATTGGCTTTTGTGTGTTTCTTTAATCCTTTATAGAACATGGAAGGGGTTGATTATCCGTAGATGCTTTTCACCAGCATTGTAAACACCTCAGCATCGCAACTTCCATTCTCAGTATCAACCACAAGCCAGGTCGGACAGCCTTCAAAGATCTCCCAACCGCGGCCCAAGACAATTTGTTTTGGCATCACTTCTCTGCTTCGACAGCTGATCAGCGTTATCAAATCTCTCGGTGCGGGTTGCCTGAACAGTGCTCTTGCCTCCAACCCCGTTACACATTTATCTCTCGTTATTGATTTCTGTGATTACGATGACCACAGCTGCAAAGGAGGAGGTAATTGTTACTCAAGAGTTATAGTTGGATGGCAGGCGCAACAGTGTTACGCATTGAGTTACTTCCCGAGCGATTTGAGGAAATTATGTCGCACACCCGTGGCCGAGCGATTCGAGGAAATTATGTCGCACGCCCCTTTGCCGCACAATACCATATCGAGATTCAATAATACATCCCGTTATGTAAACCGATACTTTTAACAGCTCCAATAGGCTACGCCGTTGCCGTGTTACATCGGCTTTTGTGGTCTCGCCGTCGCCAGTGAGACTGTCACATCTCCCCGCTCGGGAAAATGAGACTTTTCAAGTCTTCTGCAGGAACATGTTTCTCCCCTCCTGGGGGCCAGATGTCCAACTCAGAAATAACACAGAGCTCCCCTCTCTTCATTCAAGATGTCCGTCATCACACAGATCGATCCAGCCCTGCCACCAAAGATCGACACATTCACTCCTCTGTCCATCCATTCACACGCCGCATCCAACCATGCATCTTCAAACCCTTCTATTCAGCATTTCTGCCCTGGTTGCTACTGCCTCCGCGGCGCACAGCTGCTACATTCACAATAACTTCGGCGTGAAAGACCACGGCTGTATTCGCTGCAAAAACAACTACCAATTCGAGTTCACAGAGCAGGGGGTGGTATGTGATATCGGGCGCTCGTGCTGCCGTGGGATTTGCTGCCTGGAGGAGACACAGTAGGGAGGTAATAGGTGGTCCAGTGTAAGTTTGTGGGAGTTGAAGGGGTGTCTTAGAAAATTCTGACAATATGTACGGCATTGATAGCTCCGTCAACAAACAGTGATTCAGAACGTTTCATCACTTTCTTTCTCGATGCGGCGAGATGCGTCAGATATGGGCCGGCATTCTTACTCGGACCAGGACATGACAGCTCGCATGTATCAGGTGGAGTTATGGGGTCATGCGGATATCATGTTACTGGGAGTCCCTTACCTGAAATAAAATGATTTAAGAGTCGTATGTAAGGGCTGGGATTGTATGACATATAACCGTCCTGTTAGATGGTATATAGTACGGCCGTCGGTGCTGTAATACTGGATCGACGTTCTCACTTGGAGATCTCATACGCTTTGCTTTCTAGACGTATCCAGATCTCAAACAACGAAACAAGGAAGGGCTGCTATGTACGTCGCATAGGTTTCATACCCCTTGCATTTAAGAAATGGAGTGTCTGAGGCTAGAATGTATAACTGAAATTTTAAACTGGAATTCATGAAGCTGGAAGTATATATAAATCCTCTATCTTCCCTCTAATTTTTATATAGCAATTTTCCATCAGCGATCCAGATCCAGTTACAAACCTACTCCCTCATAATCATCACACCCCACCACCTCATCACCAAGTCAACCCACGATGCGTCTATTAGCCCCTCTCCTCACTCTTACGGCCCTTTTAATCTCATCCTCTGCAGCTGAAGAGTGGTGCTATCCTATCGGCAGGTTCGGATCACTAGCCCGTGGCTGCTCCCAATGCCGTGACGGCTTCAACGAGTTCAGGCTCTCCCTTCACAGTACCTGCAGTTTGGGAACTCAGTGCTGCACCGGATTCTGCTGCAGAAAGTAGAAGTAGTCTGCTGTAATGTGAGTTGGGGTCTATATTATCCCGCCCTCGGTCCAGAACTGATGTGGTGGTGTAGGGCGTCGGCAGACACGGACGCTTGTCGTCGACACGGTTATAGCGATCCAGTTTCAAGGTCTCGAGGCCTAGCTCTAAGAGGAATATGATAGTATGAAATTGATATAGTCTCGGCGCTACATCTCTATCTAGACCCTCGCGAAGTAGTTGGTTGATCGAACCACTTACCAATGAAAGTGTTTATCCAGCTCTCTCGATATCCAAATATTTTTTAAATCTAGTGAATAATATCAATAGCTGGGTTTTCCTTGCGTATTGTTTCCTGGCAGCCAGCGATACTTGTCAAGACAGAAGCACTTATATACCCCTTCTTGCCTCTATATTCCCAGAGCACACTCATCTTCTCTAGAATTTTATCCAAGTGTTGTTTATAATAAACGATGTCTAGCCTTCTATCCCCGCCCCCGCAATCGCTGTACCACGACTCACCACCATGCACCTCAACACGGGTTTTCTCAAGGCCATAGCCCTCTCGACCTCTGTGGTCGCAGAATGCCAACTTGGGTCAGAGGTCTACAACTGCACGCAGTACCATAATGGGTATTGGTTTACCTTTGACGCTAACAAGGGTTCCAATGTTGAAGATGCTTTTTCTTCCGGAAGTAATGGGGTGTTCCAATTGTTTCCTGTGTCGTTTCTTTCCGTGTAAAGTGAGCTGTATCCATATCGCTCGCCTTGGGTTCTCTGCATCGTCAGTTGAGGTGGTTGTTCTATCCAGGGGCTCTAAGTCTTAGGTCTCGGGGGGTTGGGTTTGTGGCAAAAATATTGGTGTGGGATTGGTGTATGATTTTTGAAACTCCAAACTTATTTATCCGTTCAGAATACACAGATGCCGTTGGCGGAGTAGAGAACTAAGCGTGAAACTGTCTTATATTTAGCTGTCAACATGTTAGACTTTTCAACGGCACTGTGGCCCCGTATCAGTAGTTAATTTCCGACTATTTCTCTTTACTTACCGTGGGGCTAGATATGTCTTCCATTTGGCAAGCAGTTTCCATCTTCCACATTTTGAGTTCCGATAGCCGTCCCATCATAAGTAATTCCCAAAGCATCAAAGCCGCTTCTTCATAGACCGTTCATCTCACTACAATCCTCCTCGGCCTAACCGCCCTCTTATTCTCCGCTTCAATGGCTCGCACACAGATCCGAACGGATGCGATGAGATCGCCGACCACGGGCAGCCCAGCAGCAGCTGCAACCTATGCAAGAGCAAGCACATTTTCAAGAATCCCTATGACGGGTGCGATGAATTGTACAGCTGCTGTCCTGGTAAGTGTTGCCCAAAAAGACAGCAGAATAGTAATGAGTAGGTGTGTTGCGCATTGTGAGTTAGTTCTGTTTGTCGTTCAAAGATTCATAGCCGACTTTGTGTTCCAGGGAGGCGGATAGGGACACCCATCTACCGACGGAGCTATGTTGGCTATTCGAGGATATCTGGGTCCCTGCGCCTTGGGGGTGAAAGTATGCCACGGCTTTATGTATTTGGAATTGGGTGCTGGTGATAGTAAGTTCCTCAAATAGCTTCCTGTCGAAACCAGCCAAACCCATAGCACGGCGTGAATAAGTTATAAGCTACAGGCATCACCTTCGTGTAGCCCTCGACGAGGCTTCATGATGGCCCTTTTTGAACGGGAAGTTGCAGAATATACAGTATGATCGCCGCTTGTGTTACTTCTTCATGATGCTGTCCAACGCCCCAGCATCAAATATGAGGCATCAGAAAAGCATGTATACATGCCTATCCTTCCATGTTTGCTTCGTCTTCCAAATTCCAGATATGTGTATATTCTTATAGAAATAGGAAGTATGCCCACTTAGATAAGTTAAAGTAGTCCTTCACCGGCAATCCAACCCCAATATCACAGCTCCAGATCCAATACCACAGACCGTTCTCATATCACCAACCTATCTCGGCTTCAAGTTACCAATTCAAAATGCATTTCACCCCATCCCTCTTCGTCCTCGCTGCCCTCTTCGTTTCCGCCAGTGCATTGCCGCCTGCAGCGCAGCCCACATTAGAGCCATGCTACCAAATCGACAACTTCGGCGTAAGCTCAGGCTGCCAGCCGTGCTCTGCTAAATACCGGTTTTTTTCCACGCACGGCGACATCTGTGATGATGGGATCGTTGGCTGCTGTCGTCGCGGGGTATGCTGCCAATAGAGATGGTGGAGGCGAGGATGTTACCTAGTGCGGTGTAAGCTTGCTCAAATGAATGCCCTTGGTAAATCCAGAGTCGACTCGATGTTCTAGGATGTTGGTACGACTAGACCGTCAACAAGGCAGTTGATAAAAGCTATGAAGGTCCATATGGCCCATCTTCCTGTCTCTTCTTTCAGGCGGACTATGTTGACCGTTGGAGTGTTGGTTTGGGTTTTGAGGTTATCTAAACAAAAGTGAGGGGAATTAGTTATCGTCCAGATGCAGATTGCTAGTCTTGGATATTAAT